TAGGATATTGCTTAGAATTGTTTGGAGTGCTGGTTTGGTGTTCATGAAATTTCTCAGGTGTTCTTTGTCATGGAAGTATCTAATTTCCCCATCAATTTTGAAAGATAATTTTTGCAGGATACAACAGTCTATGTTGGAAGTTATTTTCTTTTAGGGCTTGAAATACTTGACTCCAGGCTATCCTTGATTTGAGGGTTTGTGTTGAGAAGTCTGCCGTGATTCTGATGGGCTTTCCTTTGCAGGTGATTTGTTTCTTTTCTCTAACTGCCTGTAGGATTTTGTTCTTCTGTTGTGTTTCTGGGATCTTGACTATTATATGTCTAGGTGTAGATTTTTTTTTTGATCATGGCTAGTTGGAGTCCTATATGCCTCAGTTATCTCTATGTCTAATTCTCCACCTCTGTCTGGGAAGTTTTCTACTATTACTTCTGTGAACAGTTTTTTATGTCAATTGCACATTCTCCTGTTTTTTCCTGGACTCCTATTAGTCTTATGTTGTTCTTCTTTGCATCTTCTAGCAGTGACTGGATTGATTTCTCCTAGTCCCTTACTATTTTTAAGAAATCTGTGTTTTCATCATTCTTAACCACAATCCTGTCTTCTATATCTGATATTCTGTCTTCAGATTCCCTTAATCTGTTCTGCATGCTTTCAGTGGAGTTTTTCATCTCCTGAATATCTGTTTGATCTGTTTTATGGATTCCATTTCTTTCCTATGTTGGGCATTCTCAGTTTCCAATTCTTAATTATGCTGGACATTCATGGCTTCTAGCATATTTCTTAGCTCATCTATTTTTTTATCTGTTTCTGTTCTAGAGCCTCTAATCATCTCTTTTACTCTGCTTGCCATCTCTGTAATTATCTGGGAGATTATTTCTGTTTTGAATTTTTCTAGAGCCTCATTCATCTGTTTTGTTACTTCCTGTGGTATCATTTCAGGGTGTCGAAGTGGTTGATTATCAGACTTTTCCACCTTGTTTACCCCAGAATTTGCCTTTTGTGGGGTCAAAGTCTGAGTTTGTGCCTTACTTAAATGTCTTGTCATTTTCCTTTTTGGTACTGTCCTTGGTTTAGTTCCTGCATTGATACTTTGAAGTTGCTTATTGTAAGTATCTTTGTTGATGTATTTATTTATTTATTTATTTATTATTTATTATTTTTTGGTACTGGGGATCGAACTTGGAACCTTGTGCTTGTGAGGCAGGCACCGGAACCACTGAGCTAAATCCCCAGCCCTGTTGATGTATTTAGAACACTTATGGAATGGTTGCTTCTCAGAGGTGTCTTCCAGATAGAGCTGGTCTTTAGGTTTTATGTCTCTAATGGCTCTGAGGCTGTCTCATTTTCATTATATCAGGAAGGACAACTGATTAGATCAATCACAACACCTTAGCCCAAGTAATACAATTAGCAACACAATAGCATCAAGAACCTCTTCGAAAATGACAATTAGTGGTAGTTATTAACCTATCACCTTTAACTGTGTAAATTAAATCAGAATCAAGGACCAACCTAACATATGTTCATAGTGAATAAACTCTTCAATGTAGCAACTTTACCCTTCTGAATGAGGAGTTAGAAGGAGTTGGGGAGGGAGGGATAGGTAGGTAGAAGGATAGGGGAAGGTTAGCAGTGAGGCCTGAGGACACAGGAAAGAGAAGGAAAGAGAAGAAAAGAAAAATAAAGAAGAAATACGAATTAGGGCCAGAACAGGAATATAAAGGGAGATGAAGTACAATGTGTGACAGCAAGGGAGTGAGGAAGAGAGAGACAGAAAGAAAAGATTAAAGAAAGAAAAAAGAGAAAAATAAAATTTTTGAAAAGTAGAAAAAGAGGAACAAATTAAAAATAAAAGCAAAGAAAATAGTGGTAATTTTAAAAATAACAAATAAAAAATAAAAATGAAGGGCCTCCTTAAGGGTATGTCTCTGCTTTCACTATAGACAATATGGGTAGCAGTGTGCAGTTATAAGTCAATGAGTCTCAGTAAGCCAGTCACAGACCTGTGAGATTCAGGCAGATTTCTGGCTTCAAGTCCCAAGTTGAGCTCCATGTCCTCCAAGTATGGTGGTCTGGTGTGCCTTTACTGCAGAGATTCTCTTCACGTTTCCAGTGGGCTTCAGTTTTCATCAGGAAGCCTGAGAGAGGCCCTCTCTCTCTCTCTCTCTCGTTCACTTCTGCAGCTCAGGACAGTGGCCTTTATGTCCCCTGTGCCTCTGCAGTGTGGAACCAGGTAGCTGCACAGCCAAGAGGCCAGAGGCGGTTGGGGGGGGGTCTGTTGTTGTAGGTGCCCACGCAACTCCACAGGCGGCTGGTGGGCCTGCCTGGGGGATCCTTATCAGCTCTTGGTCTCAAGGAGGTGTAGCCAGCCGGACACAGCAGGGCTCAGTCAGTCTTGGGTGCTCTGCCCGTGGCTCCACTGGAGGTCAGTGGGCCTGCCCCAGTCACAATTTCTTAAAAAAAAACAAAAAAATACCCTACAGTTATGAGGTGCTCAAGGTCATTTCAACAGTGGACCCAAAGCCATGTCTATGCTGACCCCTCTTGAATTACAAAAGGAGAAAACCAGAGCCAGAAATCATCTTTTTACAAATAGCCGGACAAACCTACTCAGGCCCACTCATGGAACAGTCAGCGGGCCATGCACATGAGAACAGATAATTGATACCCTTTTGCATAAATTCTAGAAGAAAATAAAGGTAAAATTCAGACATGGCATTACATGGAAAAGAAAAATAACTGTCATAAGTAGCAGGTGCAGAACTGTACGTGTTAAAGCAAGGATGAGAGACAAAAGTTTTATAAGAAATAGTTTGTAATCAAAATCCTCTTTGTTCTTCTAGAACATCTCTTTAAAAATTCCTGGATCACAGTTCCTTGGTGACTTTTACAAGAAAACAAGAGATCATTTGAGTCCACGGAATCTGACACATACAGTGCTCTTGGAAGTCTTTGGAAGATCAGACTCAACTCCAGAACCAAGGATTGCTGTGTGAATTCACTCATGGTGCCAACTTCTGTATAACGTTATTCTTTAGAAGAAAGTCACAGAAAAAATCAGCATCTCATGGAATTCTGAGTCTCAAGATAGGTCCAGTATTCACAATGGATCAGGGGGGAGGGGAATGGAGAAAATAAAAAGAAGGCAAAAAATGAGACTATCTAATAAAATGTATTGGATTCCAAAAAATGGCAATTTAGAATCACTTCAATAAGCATCAACTATTGTTTCATCTAACAACATATTTGTACAGGTGTGGTAAGTTGAATAATGACACCCATAGATGCCCATGTCCCAGTCAGTGGAACCTGTAAATTATTTTCTTACATGAGAATGAAGGTATATGTTTTGAATAGAGAGATTATTCTGGATTACTCAGGTGAATTTGATGTGATTACAAAAGTTCTTATAAGAGGAAATGAGAGATTGGAGAGGGAGGAAAAGTGATGCCCCTATGGAATCAAATATCCAGTGATGATGTCATGAGACATGGAATGTCTGTTGCCTCACAGTGATGGTGAACCTTTTAGAGATTTCAGTGATAACAAACAACCCACTGTGACACACTTGTCACTACTGGTAGAAGCTTGAAGAGACAAAGAATGAATTCTCCCCTGGAGCTTCCAGCAATGCCAACACCTTGACTGTAGACTTCTGCCATGAATTGTCAGAATAAATATGCACTATTTTAAGCCACTGTGTTTGTGGTACTTTATTATAACAGCAATAGGAAATTAATACAACAGGAAAATAAAATTTAATAGCATGCCTTTTTCTGGGAAGAAATTATCTCAGAAAACAATCCCTTTTGGGCAAGGAAAACCTGATACAAATTTAGGAATTATAAGGTATGAAGTTCATGCTTTGTGTTTTGCTTTTTTTAAAAAAAAAAAGGCAGTGTAGATTATACAAAGAATGAATACACAAATGAAGATACATCTGTGATTTCCTGGCCTTAGTTTATGAGTTTGAACACAGCACACTCTTTTTCAATCACCTCCCATCTCCCAGCGAAGCAGCTTTGAAGAGACATGTGAAATGTCTGCTTTACAGCCTTCCCCACTGGTAAGGTGGATATTTAGAGACTTTTACCTGAGCCTAATTTAAAGATCATATTTCACTTGATCAGAGCTCATACTCACATTTTTTCCAAAGAGAAATATGTATATGAATAATCTCAAATATGCCAGATCGATGGTTTAAATCATGTCTCCTTGTCATGCATTGAATCTCTCTAACCATATGACTCCTCTGTGCAACACGTGCAAACTAAACTCTTTGCATTGCAGGAAAGGTATTCACCCTGGGAAGAAGCAGTGTCCTTCGAAGGCCTTGCTGACTTGAAGAGCAAGTAATACAGATCTCCTTTTTTCGAAAATAATGTAGCTATATATGACAATTTGGGCTATATTGCGATTGAAATTGATTGCAGTGTTGCATACACGGTCTATCTTAATATTCCTGGGCTTAGAGGTTAGGCATGACAATCATGTAAATAATTAAGAAAGCCTCATACCACCACAGCTCAGCTTCTTTTTATGGTGGTCCTTTCTAAGGTAAATTTTCATATAGGCTTGAATGGACACAGGTATTATTGTAATTTTCTTTGTAGATTAAACACAGATTGGAGCAACTAAACTTGTAGTTTTCCGCAATATGCATTTCCTGGCCTTGGCTGACCCTTTTGTCAAGAGTTCCTGTTCATTGTATCTACATTAAGACCAGCTCTTCTAATTTCTGTGATGTGTGTGGTTTCATATCTTAGCGCTGGCTTTTGTTGGGACTGCTACAAAGTTCCAATGTAGAGAGACTGTATTGGGGGAATTCATCAGGAGCTCCAGATGGTGCACTCTTCTACTTCACCCAAGAAATCCCCAGGATCACGCTGCTCTGAAACCAGCAGCTGTGTCTACATCCTACACATACACATTTCTAAACAGTGATAATAAATATGTCAGTAACACAAAGAGAGTGAGCGACACTATCAGAGTTTACTTGAGCTCTACAGGATGTCAGGAATTCAGTGGTCTTTAAGAAGTTCAGATGGAAACATTTTAATAGCATGCATGTCAAAAAAATATGGATTGGTATCGATCTCCCCTGACATGTATCCATTTAATGAATTTACCAGCAATGCTTTCCTTGTTCGTGTTTTAAATTAAATTCTTTCTTTATTATCAGAAGATGTGAATAAATGGCTAAGAACAAAATAGTCAAAAAATGAATATGAATTCAACAGTTATTTGCTGATGCAAAATCAATTATGGATTCAGAAGAGAGATTAGTAAGTGTGCTAATTGTGTGAAAGTTAATTATATATTCTGAATCTTGTTTTCCTCATCTATAAAGTGGAAATAAAAATATAAAATTTATAAAATGTAAAGGATAAGTTAAACAATCCATATACAATGTTTGACACTACAGGTTCTGCAGAGAAAACTTGAAAAATCATAACAATTATTGCTTGCAATATTATTTGTAATACTATTATAAAATATTGACTCCACTGGATTGGCTTCCAAATAAGTTAGAAAAGTTATTTTGGTCATTTCCTGGAAAAGTTCAAGGATGAAAAGACCAGATTGGCTACAATGCTCTCAATGTTCTAAGCTCCTACAATCTTGCTGCACAGGTACCCTTAAGATATGACTCACGTTCTCATGCTTGTAAGATGTTTCTGGTCCCTCTACCTGACACTCCAATATCCTGACAGCATTTCAGGCATGAACAATAGAGAACTTCATGATGGTAAAGTTTACCTCCCTTTTAAAATGTTTTCCAAGTCCCAATGACTTCTGCGTATATCTATTGGTCAGAACCACATCACATGATCAGTATTTGCTTTTCTTTCATTTTATTGGTACACTGTAGATGTGCATAATGTATGTTCATCATAGGGAATTTGTATTTATACACATATGTCCTGATTCTTCTTTTTTCCCCAGTTCCCTCTCCTCCCTTCAACCTCTCTCTGCTTATTTAAAAACCTTTATTTCCATGTTTTCCTTCTATTCTCTTTTTTCTTTCCCCTTCCTTCTTTTCTCCCTCCCCCACCCCTTTTTCCCCTTCCCATTTGAACAGTTCTTCCTATTTCCCAATTCTATTATACATTTGGGTCCTTATTTACCCTTTTAATTTCTCACACCAGGGAAACAATGTGATATTTAAACATGTGTGTCTGATTTCTTTTAACTGAGCATATCTCCACCACCAACAAAACCTGGACTCTATTAGTTAAAAAAGGAAGGGGAGGAAGGAAGGAACGGGTGGAGAAGGAAGGGAGGAGAAGAACGCAATGACTGAATATTGGATAGGCAGTCAACCGCCATCCTCTTTGCGTCATATAACCAAGGGTAATAAAACTAGCAGAAATATAACAGAGAGCCAAAGTCCCCTTACATAAGTAACATTCTTCACTTGACTTCTGTCTAACTCAGAGAGTGCGACTGTCCATCCTGGTACATCAACTTGACTAAATTAAGAAACACCCAGAGAATTAGGGTGCACACTTCCAGGTGTGTCTAGGTGGGCCATGGAGGGTGACCCTGGGAATTATATGTGGCCCCTGACCCTGTCCTTTCTAACACTGTGTCCCTGCTCTGATGCCTTGGAGTTAGCCCACTCAGACTGAACCTTTCCTCCTTTAAACTGTGGGTATCAGGTAATTTGTCCCAGAAACAGGAAAGCTGACTTATACAGAGAATTTTATATATTTTTGTGATTTTCGTGATAATTGTTCCACCTCATTCAACTGACCCTTCCAGTGTGTTGGCGGCAAACACTGAGTACTACACCTTGGCCCTGTTTCTTTTCAGGTTTCCCAGAAGAAATTTAGTTAATGATATCTCACTGCAACTCTCTATTTATATTTGCTGCTCTTTGTAAAATATCTCCATTTGAGTTGCTTTAATTTAATGTGTCTAAATCAGTTTCTAATACTCTCTGTCAGACAATTACCAACATCCCCTTCATTAAAACAAATAGTGTGGCCTTTTATTTCTTGACTCTTGCAGTATTTCTAACTCTGTCTTTTGCTGTGTTTTTAAAATTTTTCACATAGCCTCTTATTGAGTCAGTAACCCTCAGCCTGATCAGAACACGTTCTTTTTTCCACTCCACTACTCCAGTATCAAGTTGAATGCCAAGTTCATCCATCCTCTTTCCTAAAGCTCTTCTAGTTATGCCTCTCTGCTTTCCCCACAGCCACTAGCCTATACCAGGCCACCATTCTATTTTTTTTTTAAACCACCAAAATGATGTTCTCCTTCTAAGAAGGCCTCCCCAGATCTCGGCGAATGAAATTCAGACTCTTTCATGTGGCATTAAAAACCCTGCAGGATTTCATTTCTCACAAATAGCAATTTTATACTCTGAATTCCAGTCACATGAACTTCAAAAAATGTTTTTCTTCCAAACCACTACTCCCCACTACTTACCTTCTATCCTTCTCACATCTCTTCCCTTCTATCGGGACCAATTCTCCTCCAGTTCTTTCTTCTGCCCTTTCCTAGCTCATGCACATGGTGGAGACCCAGTCTGTATATCACTGTCTTCAGGAAGCCAGTAGCTGTGACTTTGGTCCAGACACTAATATCATTGGACCTGGAAGATCATTCCCATTTCTCAGTTGAATTTTTGGAGTCCTTCATTTAAAAAAAAAAAAAAAAGACATATCTTATACTAATGACTGCTTTTTTGTGACCTCTAATGATTGCCAAGTTGTTTCCCAAAAGTAGGAGTTAACTTTCATTTTCAGAGTTCAAAACTTTCATTCCAAATAGGAAATTTCCCCAAATATCCTTTCTTTGATACTTGACCCTAATGGCAAACCTAGTACTACTCATTGCATAACTCAGAGTCTCCCACTTTGGGATCTTGTTGCATGTTTTGCGTGTGTCTGAAAATGCCTTCCCCAGCCTCCTATCCTCAAGCACCCCTCTTCTTTCTGATACTTCATAAAGCTTCCTTTCCCCCACACTGACCAACACGAGCTCCAAATTTAGCCACACAATCATTTCTGCGCTGATAGTAATACAATAGAGTGGCTGGTTGTACTTCTATATTCTCTTTTTTCCTTTAATTTGTGGAGAGGTTTTCCTGCCTCACTCTAACTCCTGAAAAGAAGGGATCTTCCTTTCATGCATTTTGCACTATAAAACATACACTGCTAAGTACATAGTGGTAATAATGTTTAATGTTCTACCTCAACTGTTTTTGTTGAAATCTTACTAAAAATAAATTGTGATATGGTGTATATCTATAGGGCTGAAAATATTTGAGGTTTTTCAGCTATTGAAAATGTCAAACTTGTTTCTTAAGAAGTATTTATTTAACCATGAAGTAGAGAACCCGATATTAATCAATTAACATAAGAATGATAACAGGGAACAGTAAGAGTTATAAGTGATATATGAAAGAATACTAAATTAGACTTGTTGTCACACATAATTAGAAGATAATTGTGATGTTTCTTATTGTCAATATCTTAGATCTGCAAGGATGACACACCTTTATTAGTTGATACTATCTCAGCGAAAAAGAACACAGTTATGCAAGTGGAATTATGTACTGTTCTCAGCAGACTTAAGGAAAATAATGAACACATTATATTTTAATGTCTTATAAACTACCAAATTATTAATGATCTGGAGAGACTATTTGCATTTTCTCATTTAGAAGTTATTCCGACTTTAATTAAATAACTTCATGCAACAATGAAGCACTCTTTCTATTTCTCTGCTTTGTGCACATGGATTAATGGGACGGATACCCAGAGAGTTCTGGTGTGCCCTTTCATGGAAGTAGCTCAAATAGCTCCAAAGCGATGGGGTCAGGCCTTGGAGGTGGGGTTAATGCTGAAGAATGTTGAAAAGAATAACAGACATTGCTGACTGCTTTCCTACCAAGTAGTTATCTGAACTTGCTCACAAATGTGCTTCTAAATAAAAGCCAATAAAGTTCAGGATGTATTGTTGCCTTCTAATTACTCTTGGCCATGTTTCAATGTCTAGGATGATTAACAGTACGGACTCAAGAGTTTTGGGGTTTTTTTTGATAACTTGTGTTATTTTCCAAAAACATGTATCAGCCATTTCAGAAAATCTAAAACTCCAACCATTGGCAGATTTTTAGACAATACTTTAAAAATATATTTCCTTTCTGATCCTTCCAGAAATTAAGTTCTCTTGGATATCACTTCTCTTAGACATAGTGCAATATTAAAACTTACATCCTGAAAGTGTAAATTACAGATATTTTTAAAGAAAGACAGTAATTTGATTAAGCTACATTACTAAAATTAATTTCAAGCTAGCAAAAATTACGAAACATTTTCCTAGAGCAATTATGGGGAATTGTATGCATCCCTTGACAAGTTTTAAAACTGAACAGGAATGTCTGCCTTGTTAGAGATTTTTAAATGTCCTGGAGAAGTTTTCCTTAATTATTTCTCCCTTCTGTCAGCTGTGTTATTGCCCTACTGGTTTAAAGGTTAAACAAAGTACTAGATCTGTCAAAGTGAAAGAAACCAACTGGTGAGGAGCTATCAGAAGGTAATCAGGGCTAATAGGTACATAATGGCTAACAGGGTCCTGTTTGCACTCAGATCCATCACAGAGACAGAACATAGCTTTCACTGACATCCCTGTTAAGGAAAACACGGAGAAATCCAGGCCTTCTGTAGTTAAAACCACGTGAGCCGGCAGTTCTCTCCCCCTGCCCCCATCTCAAGATAAGACGCTGATAAAACTCCAGCTCGGAAAAAATCGAGATTTGCGTGTGTGGGATAAAGCCATTATTTCAGAACCGAAATTAACAACCTTGCCCTCCTTACCTGTGTTAATTTTAAAATTAGAACACGCACAAGAGATACGAACTTCCTTCCTGGGAGACGGACAGCGCGGTATCTCTCACAGATGCTTCTCAAGCAGTTTTTACACCAACATCTGGTCTAAGCAAAATAAATTACAGAGAGGGAGACAGATATGAAAGCAAAGATAAGCAGCAGCGCTTGTAGGATTCTTGGGTCTTAATAATGCTTCCTGCGACTACTTTTTTCTCCTTGCTGTTTAGGATACATTTTCATAAATTAGTGCTTTTCTTAAAAAATTAAGAATAAGCTCTAAGTTTTACTAGCTGTTCCCTAGAACCGCATCTATACTATAACTGCTGGCTGTGTTTGGTTTTATTGCTTCACCATTTTGACAATTATCTGTTGTGGTTTAAGTGCTTCCAAAGCTCAGTGTAAACAATAATGCAGGGTGTTAAAGCATTTATTTACTATGTGGTGAAACTAATTCTTCTTTGTAGCTCTTGCAGTAGCTGACAGGAAATAAAATCTAAGATACACGCAAGACACAATGGGCTGCTTACAGTAATAGTTTTATCTTCCAGGGGCCACCGAGTAAACTTAGAGTAAAGGTTTATTTTTCAATTATATGTATCCATGCATCTTGGAGTTTAACATAGTCCTCATGAATAACAACAACAGTGCCTGTATCTTTGACTTAAATTAAGGAAGGTTGGTACAGACTGCTTCAAAGTTGAATTCAGAATATGCAGAACTCAAGAGCGGCAGTCCAATGCTGTTCAGCACCCACAGCCTGGTGAGAGAACCTTTTGAGCTTTCCCTTTAGGTTCAAATAACAGGGAATGGTGCTCAAACAAAATGATCTGCACAATTCAGGAACTAGAACAAATCAAAAGAGGAGATGAGAAATGTTTAACAGTACAAGCTCAAACTGTTCTCCACCTCATGCCACTCTATTTCTTAGATTACTGAGAAAACATAGGTGATCTAAAACTGCTGTCACTATCCTTTGTCAGCTCACATACTTAACTTTAGATAATTGCAGAAGTAGTCAACAGGTATCCAAGAGTCTTATTTTCATAGACATTACTACTTGCTGTTGTGTTATACTTTATAATGGAATCCAAACCCTAAGGTTTCCTCTTCTAGTTAAGCAAACTTTTAAAATATATTTTGTTTTGTTCTGTCCTCAGAAACTTTTATTTCAAAACTTGATGTAAATGAGTTCTTTCACACATTCTCAAAACAAAATCAAGATTTCTCTCTCTCTCTCAGGACATTTGAAATTTTTCTTGTAGAGTTACTGATAATTGTCTTCCATCAGATCAAAACCCCGAGTGACAGGTTAATTCTTCAAAGTGTGTACTTAATTTACACCATTTAGTTGTCTTTAGATCTTACTAGAAGTCACACAATTTCATGATGGGTCAGTGATACAGGAAAGTTTAAAATGTATTTTCTGGCGCAAAAGAAATCTGTTTGCTGTCCTCCTCAGGTTAAAGAGAAAATCTAGGTTAACGCACGAAGGCTGGTGGGGCTATCTTACTGGGCCCTGGTGAGTGTGGGAGGTACACTTGCCAATGGGGTGCAATCACCTGTGATGGGAAGTCCTGATAGTGAAGATTTTTTTTTTAATTTGCAAGACAGGATAGAAAACACATCAAAAATCTATCTTCTGTCTCATGCTTGTTCTAGTTCATGGAGTCTCCTTGCACTTTATCAGGTCACAGCCATGATATTCTGAGAGCTAATGGTGACATCCAGATATATGTCCCCTGTAGAACCCATCACCGATCTCCACCGTGTCACAAATTATTTGATTAATTTCATGGTTTTGAGGCAATAAAATAAAAATAAGAATGCTACAGCAAAGTCTCCATGGGTGGTTAGTGTGGCTGTACCACTCCCCTGGAAAATTAGTATTGTTAATACAGGTAAAATTGACTCTAGATTTGAGACTCAATGGTTAGTTAAATGAAGCAGTGACTCACTGGAAACAAATTCTACTACTTCATATTTTGCCTATCATAGTGTTTTCTTTTCACTTCCCCTCTGCATATGAATCAACCCAGACATATACATATATTAGTGAGACAATAAACCCATGAATATTTGTATTTTCATAATATTTTTATTTTCATGATTGCTATTTGCAAATATCTTTCTTGATTATACCTGTGAAGTAATTTATATGCAAATAGCAGTTACATTATATAGTCCAATCTGTCTATTGCTCTCCTAAAATAATATGCTAGTTTATTCCTGGCTTTCTCTTCTTTTGGAAACAAATCAGTTCTTAAGTTATGTATGCCAATACTTACTGACATATACAAAACTTTCATAAAAAGTGTATGTTAGACAAGTAATGTATCACAATTTAATTACAAGTAATAATAATCAGCAAAACACTTAACTACTGGTCATTTTCTTTCTTGAAGCACATCTCAGATGTTTACTTATAAATGTTAAACTGTCTACTTAAAAAGTCAGGTATTAGACCATATCATGGGTTATTTGTTAAGATGTTAATGCTATCAAGGTTAGCCTACCTTTGGTAATAATTTTAATTTAAAATAAGTTCTGATTGTCCCATAATCCTCTACTATCTCTCATGAAGGATTTCATTATGGGAAACTTTTGACTTCTAAAATTCAGGGATGAGAGAGCCCAAAGATCTCAGATAACCTGTTAGGTGGTTTTCCTTAGTGATAACTGCAATGAAAGTAGTTTACTTAATATTTTCACTGATCCTCACCCACTTCCACTGCTGCAATGTTTTACAAAAGTGGGGATCCTGTCAAATATACTGACAATATAATGTCAATACTGATTCAGGACCCACATCGTATCTTATCAAATTGATTGAGAATAGCTGGAACTCGGCATTTATTTTTCATTGGGCAAAAGTGCTATGGGAAAAGGAGAAGTAAAATAGACGTGTTGATCATAACATCACTCCAGTATACTTCACAGATAAGTCTGTCCTGAATATCACTTTATAATAGTTAAACAACTTCAAAATATCTAAGCCTTAAGTGCAAAGATCCTAGAGCAAAAGAGCTCTAGTAATGAATGGAATGGCTCCCACAGAATAGAATAGTATTTTATGGAACAAAACAAAGAGAGGATAAGGTTTTATTTATTTATTTATTTTTAAATTGTCCTTTTCCTATCCTTTCTCTGTAATGTTCTGGTTGGCACTACCCATGGATAAACTTGGGAAAATGTTATCATTGCAGAAAAAAAAAAAAACTTTTGCCACCTGTAAGCCATTAGGCCTGGGATGAAAATCAAGCCTGAAAGCTGCCAGTGACTCTATATTTAATTTTAAATGAGAGGGGAGAAGTCAGAGGCAGAGAGAGATTCTATGTGTCCAAGATCCAAAAGAAAACATTTGGAGCTTCATGCATTTAATCAGTACTGCCACATCATTTGAGCTTACACCTGCAGAATGAGCTGTCTTTCTCATGTGTTCTCTCAGAGAATAAATGGACCTTCTGCAAGTGAAGCATTTGGAAGTATATTACCATAGCAAAATTAATATTTAATTCACAAAAGTACAATTATATCATTATTTTTCAGGATGAGAATATTCTTGTATTTAGAAAAAATATACTAATTTGCTGTCTCTGATTATTCAAGTTAAAACTTTTAGAATCAAAATTTCCACATTTCTCCACCAGGTTGATATGGTAGGGGGAAGTAGAGTCTAATGATAAGATATGGATAGTGTCTGGAATGCTGAGTTTCTATGTGTGATAATTGCCCTTTCATCAAATATAATTGCTTGTGACTTGAAAAACAGTAAAAAGACTATTGTATAAAACATTCATATAGAAATTAAAACAAGTCAGAGCAAAGAGCAATTTTATAGCTCCTCTTGTGTCAAGCACTTCAAAAATTGCATTTGCACTTTAATTCTACCTTGGTTGCACTTAGAAATTATGAAATCAGCTTCCAGCCATCCTTATTATCTACCATGAGGTCTCAGAGGTGTCCCAACAAAATGAATTGCAAAGCCTGCTAAGTGCATTGCAGGAAATTGATCCAAATTAAATTCCTCCATTAAGCAATGACCAGTATATTCGTTGTATCTCTATTAAATTTGTTAATAAAGACTTTAGAAATGCTTATAAATATTCTGGGGGGTTTACCTCATTTATGGACAAATACTTGTAAGATTTGCATCCACGTTGATAGACAAAACACATTTAGAAGAGCTAATGTCTTCTTTTAAAGTAAAATATCCAACATTCAGTGAGAGTGCAGTGTCGTAGTAGAGCTGATACCTACAATAGCATGTTTCTTCCTCCTACTTCTCAAATCTCTCTCCAAGCCAGTGCTATGCCCTTCATGTTTTCCCCCTTTATTTTTTATGGAGCTTCTCTCCATCATTTATCCACTTATTGTTGGTATATTCATTTCCACTGCCTCATTCCCCACCAAATATAAATAACAACTGGTTTCTCTCTTTAAACAAAAAGAATTGAAAACAAGTATTCAAACAAATAGTTATATACAAATTTTTATAACAGCACTGTTCACAACAGCTCAAATACGGAAATGACTCAAGTAATTAATAGCTAAACAAAATGCAGTATACATACGTAGAATGGACTAAGATTCACCCCTTAAAATGAATGAAGTGACATGCTACAATTGGCTGAGCCTTTAAAATATTATGTTAAGTAAAAGAAATCACACACAAATTTTATGGTTACAATTCTATAATATACGCAGAATGGGATATATAGAGGTAGAAAGCAGATTAGTGGTTTTGAGGACCAGGAGAGATGAAAAATGGGGAAGACAGAGTAGTCACTGATGTGATCATCAGTTGTGTCTAATCCCAAAGATATTCATTGCATCCTTAGCCAATTGGAGAGTAAATCCTTCCAAAGCAGGAACTGTGCTTTTCTTATTCATACCTTAATAGGCCTGTATCTAGAACAGTTTCTAGACAATGAGTACTTAGCCAACATTTATTAAAATTTAGCAGAATATTTTTTCTAGCTTTTTTTCTGAGTAGCTTTTGATATTATTGAGAATTTTCTTCTATGATATCACTAATTCTGAGTTCTACTTCACTACAAACTATTCCCACAAGATTCT